TTACTTGTTTAAGGTCACGGGTGAGAGGGACGAGACGATGGTAAACGATGGAGCAATCGCACTGGAGTATGCACTGCTGACGAGTCCCCCAACAGGACGAAACACCCATCTAATGATCTTTGTTGATTATCACAAGTCTTTCCGTCGCTTATAAACGCATTCAACCAGTTGGAGAATTAAAATGTCCCAAGAAGTGAAACTCACACCCAAGACGATCTAAAGTGCTTATGAACGGTGGAGTGAATGATTCCAGATTTACTACTGTTATAATTTTCCTTCACAGTATGCATCAGAAGAATAAGAGCAGTACAAATGAAAAATGAACATAGAAGTAACTTCACATTGCCTTTTCGATGATTGAATGGGATACAAAAAAACTTGAACATTGAGGTTAATGTCCACGATTGAATATAGAAGAGACTGTATATTGTCCCCGTTTGCTTGAAAACTGCAGTTGAGCTATTTTGCACTTTAGATCAAGCCTGTTACCAATGGACTGCATTCTTTTCAGTTATCTAATAACTTTCTTGTAGGACATGTTGGTTGATCATACCTCATTCAGGATAGCGCTTATTCTTTTCAGATGCGTTGTTGGTGGTCAAGCTACACCATCAAGAGCGTGTGGTTGCTTGCATGCAGTAATGGTATCACCTGCCGTGATAACCGGTACACCCAGAATGGAGGCAGATAGTTGGTATTACTTTAACGGGTTCAAGTGACCATAGGATTAGTCTCACACCACGAAAATCTAATAACAATAATAATAATAATAATAATAATAATAATAATAATAACCCTTTAGCGAAATTTAGGATGAAATGAAAAATAGGTTTTTCAAAACTAGTGTCTGGGACTTTAGAGGCACAAAATACTTTGTAGCAGCCCTCACGACCTGACCAGAGCCTTCGACTCAAAAGTCTGACCCTCGATGCCGCGGCGATGTAGATCTGAAGTGAAAGTGTAGCCGAAGCACCTGTGTGGGAGCTTCTATTGAACTATCTCGCCAGGCCTCCGGATCGCGCTTCAGTGAACTATTCATAGCAAAATTCACGAAAGGGAACTTCGCGGACTGCTTCCCATGGGGAAGTGAACTAGTATGGTGAAAAGACAGGGAATAAACAGCTTAGCTGGATATAAACATCTTTCCGAGCGTTCTAGTAGGATAAAAAATGAAAACAAGCTTGCGACTGTTGTCGGTTCGCTGCCTCGTCCTCCAATGTTTCCAAAAGCCCATTGACGGATTCGTTTGGAACCCTTCGTGGGAGACATTTACCTAACCTAAACCCCAGTGTAGTTCACCATACATTATTTCTAGGCGATCTGAGGAACTTCGATTGATTTTCTCCGCACCGAACTGATAAATATAAGTGTAGTGAGATGAACAACTGCACTGTTTGAAAAAAATCGATTCTCATGAACAACAGCCCAGTTTCTAAACAGGAACCAGTAGCTAAATGTGCCTTAAGTTGATACAAAAATGGACAACAAACTATTGAGTTCGAGTAGAGTTCCAATCAACCGAAAATCATCTGCAAAAAACGTGTTCGAGTACAGTACATCACCGGAGTGATTTTGAAGAACCAAGGACCATCTGTCATGCTCCATCGAATGGACAGATTGCAATGACCAAATATGAGTGTTGATTAGGGCATACTGACAGAAAGAGCCGTGTTTTCTACGGGTAACGGGAAAAGCGTTTTTCTGCCAACATCATCAACTATGGGCACGTAGATAACCACTTGAGTTCAGTAGCACTATTTCCTACATGAGGCAGTAGGGATTTCGGTTGCTTTCAGACCAAAAATCATCAAATAAAAACTATCGATCATTTTAATTATTAAACACATTCCTATTTATTTCATTATGAACACCGATTGCAGAACAAGCACAGTAGACACTTTAGTCAATAGTGGTTGGAAACGTTGAGGATACGAATAGTTTGCGCTGATGACTTTATAGGGGCTCTATTTATCCTTCAGTCTTTCTCACTTGTTTTACGTCAGTGATTCAGAAGATTATACGAAATATTAACACCTCGCAAAATGTGTTTTCCTTCGGTCTTCGTGCGGTCGATCAAGGGAGCCCAGAGTTCTCCAACTTTCGGATTAGTTTGTCACTTTCCCATCACTATTTTCTGATTAGCTGGTTCCATTGATTTCACATCGATTCACAACGTCGCGCGAATTGTCATCCCCAAAATATAAGTGATTCGTCAGAATTTCACTCATTCGGGTATTATGTTCTTACGCGAATAGATGCTTACCGCATATGTTCATTCGGTATTCAGTTTGTGAGGTACGGAGTTTTCTCATCCTGCGCCACTCACCGTGTAATTCCGATAGAAGGATTCCGCTGTGCCCGAATCGCATTGGGTGGTAATACATTGTGTTGGTGTTATGTCAGATTGGAAGTCTCTTGTGATTAAGATCAGGAGAACGGAGGCATTTTTGTGTCCGTCTACGTTTATGCTTCGGTGACTAAACGCAAGTGCGTTCTCTCAGAGAGAATCACGTTGTTGTTGTTCTTGTTGTTTTGCGCTCCTGGGTAGACTCTCAACGTGATAACTAGCATCACAACGATCGAGCCTACTCAATACGCTCCTAATAATACAAAATGATAGGTTGTCGTACATCGAAAAGAAACTCAAATTGTTTCACACGAAATTATTCCACCTCACTATACTGAAACGATATATCCCTTAACAAATGCAAAGAATCCAATTTATCTAGTAACCAAAACAACACGGTAATCGCAGCGCTGTGAAAAATTTGGTATCTTCTGAGAGCTAAACTAAACTACATTCTGGTAAGTATTCCTTTAATCAGAAGTGATTGCGTTGAAAAGTAATCTAGTTCGGCTTGGTAGATAAGCTTCAGTAACACAAGAACATTATTTAACAAACTAAGAAACACTCAACGATACCACCCGGAAATGCGTATTCGGAAGGAAAATAATCGGTAAGTTGGGGGGGGGGGGCGGTGACTGGGACACCGTAATGAGTGGTGTCGACCTAAGAACATTGTGGTGATGATAAAAGCCATCATAACAACAACCTGGAGATTGTACGTTCAAATCCTGTCAGTGTCACCCACCTCAGTTTTCTGTATTTAGTCACAAATGACCGGATGAACCCCAGTCTCATGACTGAAAATTTACTATATACTCGTATGTCAAAAATTTGAAGGAAAGTAAAATGTTCAATACATCACAAACCATTACGCGGTGCACAGTGGAAGCGCTTAAAGCGGCGAAGGGAATACGAGTTTTTTTGGTATTTTCCGGAGAACACCCATAGAAAATCAATAAAAGGTTTAACAACCAGCTTTTCCCATATTTGTTTTTATTGGAATGTAGTTTGAAAGCGCGAGTCTGGATGATCAGTAAAAGGATCAGCTGATGCTGATCGATTGTTATTTGTTCGGTCTTCAACCATTATTCTTCAGCAACATTCTGCGGGTCATTTTTTCCTACACTTACTCACATGGACCCACGTCGTACTTCAAAGGGTTGGCAAAATAAACTGATGTAACCTTCCAGTGAATAACAGTTGACAAAAAAATCAGCCGACGAAATAGTTCGCCTGTCTACAAGATCACTCGCCTTTTCACCTCCCGGCATATCCAAACCTCCGATATTTGGATTTCTTTTGTCTGTGTAAGAACGTGCTTGGTGCAACCAACATTGCAACACGTGAGTGGCCTCATCAGCCGATCGAAAGTAGGCGAAGCCATAGCCACGCGGAAAACCCGTCACGATATTCCGAACCAGTCTAATTTTCGGCCACAATTCATCGCCCGGATTCAAGTGATCATCTTGTTCGTTATGCCCAGTTTTTGGCGGGTTGGCGAATGGTGATCGACTGCGTCGGGAACTCCGACGCCGACTGGATGAATGACGATCGTCGACGGAACGATGGCCCGAGCGATCAGTGAGCTGATTTGACCGACGTGTATTCAGCAGTTTCCGCAACGCCTCACGAATTACATTTGTATCAGCTGCATACGGTAGTCTACCCAGAAACAGAGTAGCCTTTAAAAAGAATATGAGAGATGATCTAACGAAAAACAAACTGAAATCCCGGCACTATTCTGTGAATGTCTAGAGCCATAAAGTAAAGAAAAATCAAATTATTGGACTTCTTATGTGAAGCATTTGAAAAGAATTACGGAATGAACGAAATTCTCATATGCAATTAATTCGTATCAATCGTTGAGTGGTAAATGCTCCTTAACGAGATTAGACGCATGTTTCCACCACCCGCCTTTGTGAGTGTGGTTCGTTGGTGACAAGGAAAATGGTTCTATTCAAGTATGGACATTTTAACTGAAATTTAGAGTCTATATCCTTTGCGGCTGTTCGCGAACAATTCGCTAAACACGTGGAAATGGCGTAAAAAGACCACTGGGCTATTTGACTGACCAGTAAAAGCCTCAGTATGGTAGATGATGGGTGTCTTGGGGTTTGAATAGTCACTACCTCTGCAATTCGCGAAATACGACAAAAAGCCTCTGCTGAGGAAGTTCTACTAACTACCTTCCCGTGTTTGATCACTGAAGTCACAGAAAGAAACGGCAACATTCGAGGCTATAACCGGGTTCGTGAACCACTGATAGTTGATATATAGAAGTTGATTAGAAACTCTGATTCCAAACCAACCAAGAACCATGCATCCTGGATGCAGTATTGTTAACCGGCTTACTGAGGCATATTGAATGCTTGATGCCATCCAAAGGGCCCGCGATCCGACGAGCTGGACACCAACCCCAAATCGATTGCGGTTTTCTCACACTACCCTACTGTCTTGTGGATCAGGCTTTGGACAGCCAGAGTCTACGGTTGTGAATTCCACAGGGTAATTCACCCGCCTTAGCTTGGACTCGCAGTAATGTTCCGCCCAATAACAAATGATGGGCTTTTTAAATTTAAACGCCTTCATGCCTAACTAACTAGTTAAATGTACCAGATATTACGGTTTGCAAGTTTTATTATGTTTCAGCGACAAATGATGAATAATTCAATAAGGAGCATTAGCTCCCGAATACTTCCGACGCAAGCTGCCACATCAACAACTCCAAATAGAAGACCGCTCCGAAAAAATAATGTCATCGTTTATATAATTACTAACTTTATAATTTCATGCAGTGATTCAGGTCGTTTTTATTGGTTCCCCATTTGGGAGAACGAAGTAAAAAAATAAACCTGAGGACAGCATCAAGGTCGAAAGACAAAATGCAGTTAAATTAAATAGATGCATGAGCGCCGCTGAGCCACATCACCCAGTGTCTGCAACCCTCGACTTGACTGATTACAACCCAGAAGCCTAACATGACTTAGATGTCCAAGTCTCATGTTCAGGGTTCCCACGCCCTCATGCCACTCTTGACTGTGTTCCAACCAATACGAATCTCGACAAAGACTGCACGTCACGGAGGTCTAACTGGTATCGTGCGCAACACACGGCCGCCATCTACGGAGGTGAAGTGCTTGCGTCAAGCTTTGACGAAAATGACCTAGGCAACGATAGTCTGCCTTCATCCCGTAACAGCAGATTCTCTGTAACACGCAACAGCGTCAATCAAACTAATACAGAGAACATCCGACTCGTTACAGGATGTTACCACAGTTGTGCTCCACGGTGATAAACGCCCATCAAACTTTCTGTATGCGTACCGACACTATTTCCGAGATTCGTCCACTAGACGACCCGAGAAGAATTTGACTACCTCCTACGGTTTTGTATCATTCTAAACTTTGAAGGTGCGAAACACATGGCAAAATGCTCGTGCTGATATCATTTGAGAAATTATAATTTCTGTAGTGGTAATTCAACCTCCATTGATATTTTTCATTCATGCTTTTAGTCCTTGTGTCCTGATTACGACAAAGGGACGTCCCCGAAACTACGTTGTACTTCTAATAGATCAGAGAAGGGTGAGCCCTGGAGTCGAACACACACCGGTGGGAAACAATCTAGATTAAGTGAATGTTTACATATTTTGGCTGCATATGGAAAACTTCCGAGTCACAGTACGACAGTAGCCATTTAGAAATCAGTATACGCGCTGGAAAGCGTCAAAGTTGAATCACTGGGAAAATTTTAGAACTCACGGTCAACAGTGAGATTTGACTGATGGGTAGGTTAAGGAAGCAAAAAGCCAGATACAATCCATTAGGTTGAATCTACAGAAATTACGGTCTGTTAACCTCACGTGTTTCATTTTTGGCAAATGATATCCCCGCCCCTTGGCTAATTTCTACAGTCAATCCTCATCTATGAGTTCCATTGGGCGAGCAAGTAATATCTTCAGTGCCCGATTCGAAGATGTTTTGCATATATTCACGAGCTATTGGAAGCCCTCAGAAACAGTATGGTGAAGTAACTAAATCGATTAGCACTGAAATAGCCAACTGATCCAGCCAAAACTAAAAATCAGAAATTAAATATTGTGTAGCTTTCTTCCAACTTATACTGTTCATGGCCTCCTTAGATGCAAGTGACATGCAACCTAGAAATTCGGCTGCATATTGTGACCCTGTTTCATCAAAAGTTCAATCAATTGCCGCCTCCAGGATCCCAAATCTTGACTTCCAATCATGAATTTCAGCTGGTGTTCCTGAAGCCCCGATTTCCTTCCTTTAATCATTACTTTTTTGTCCAATATAACTCCCCCAATAGTGGCAACTCCTCCACCTTGGATTTTTTATCTTCGAATATGGAACAAGGGCTTGTAACCGACCCATGTTACCACCTTGGGAAATTTTACCGTTCATAATCAGGATTGGTTGACATATTCATCAGTTACTTCTTCTCTGGGGCGTGAAGCTGAACATTCCGCTTTGGTCAACAACCTGAGCCAACTAGTCAACCTCACACGTGTTCCCGATCGTGCTCACAGCCTCGATCTAATTCTCACTTTAGTCCTTTCGTTTTCTCTCAGATATTTGCGCTCCACATGGCTCATCGGATCACTGTAATGTTTCTGGCTACATTAAGTGTACCAGCTCTGATTCGGCACCCACTCATTGTGGTGCTACAACCTAGACGGTTTCCGTGATTTCCTAGCCTCTTATTCCTTTAAAGATTGTTGTTTCTCTTCGGATATTTCCAAAGTTACCGACGTTGTTCAGCACGTTTCCAAACCCGGAAAACCAAAATCCCCCGAGTAGTTTAACTATGCATGTGACCGTGCTGTACGCCTAAAACGCTTGGTCTTTGGTCATTCGCCCACTCTGTACTCCTACGATCGCTTCCTTGCAATCTGGAAACCATTCAGAGAACCAAAGAACACTTTGTTCGCTGTAAAGCCGAAAACTTGGTCTCGTCTGCCACAGGCAGTCGAACATTTTGGTCCCTTGACAAAACAATTTCCCGTAATTTCTGCGCTTTCAACTCCCCTCGATAACCACGGAAAACACGCTTGATCTCACTTGATATATCGGGTTCCCTCTGGTGCTTGTAGCATGGATATAGTTTCCTCATCACCTCTTTCCGAGTTGACGGGGTTCTATCTCAGCCGTTCCCTGAGAATGCTGGTGTTCTCCAAGGTTCAGTACTTGCACCCAACATCTTTTTATCAATGATCTCCTTTTCAAAACTTTCAACCCGATCCATTCTCGTGGCGATGAAGCCACCCTTCACTGCTACTTTTCCTGCCGCACTATTAACAACATCGACTGTGACCGTAGTGCAGTGTTACTGGACTTCGATCTTGAACACATCTCCTCCTGGGGCATTGCAAACCACGTTTCATTTAGTAGTTCTAAAACCTCTCTTTTTCGATTTATTTAGAACACCATTCATCCTCTCTCCCTCCTGTTATCTTTTGATTCCACTGAACTGCGCTCGAAAAACTCTGTTTCCCTTCTTGGATTGCCCATAAATTCTCCTTTATGCTGATCCCCTTTCATAGCTCAACCTGCTTCTTGAGCTGCGCTCAAGGTTGATTTTTTATTCCGCGCTAGACGTCTTTTCATCCAAGCTCATCTTTGATTGTACAAAGCTCCAATCCGCCCTGCTCGTGAATACTGTAGTCACGTGTGGGGTGGAGCTTCGTCTTCTTCTCTTTCCGTTGTTGATCGTGTTCAACGAAACGCCATTCGGCTGATCGATGATTCTTCTCTAACATCCAATCTGTAGTCGCTAACCCATCGTCGGACAATTGCCTCAATGTCCCTCCTCTACCGCCACTACTTTGGTTTTTGTTCTTCGGAATTTGCCTCAGCAGTTCCTCTTCCTGCAACTTTTACCCGCTCATCCCGTTCACAAACATCTAGTCATCCTTATTAGGTTTCTGTTCCCAGGTGTCGTACCTCTCTACTCCAATCTTCTCCCCCCTCCCCTGAACTGTTGTGGAATACCCTCCTACTTTCCGTCTTTCCTCCAACTTACAACCTGAGACTCTATAAACGCAGATTCAATAAACTGGATCTCAAAAGAATGTTCCCCTACTCCAAATTTTACAGTGTGCTATTTGCCCATTGGGACTTACCCTTTTAATGTAACTCTTATTAGGTTCAATCAAAAAATACTTACATCCAGCGTAAACTGCAAACTTGGATAGTAAGACTGAGCGGTAAAATACGGAGAACAGGTACCTCAACTCTTGTATCAAGCTAGATTTGTACACAGCGTATTAGCAGTAATTTGTCATGAGACCAGAAAAATAATTAGCAAGGGTCTCGAATACCGTTAAAGAAAGCTCTGTAGTTCCTTTAGAGATCAGGTAATAGTTGACCCCAGAGTAATAAATAAAGTAAATCTATAAAACACTACTTCACAAAACACGAAATCAATTACACACGTATCTGAGCATCCATTAAGATCCACCAGACCGACCGAAGCAGAGACCGTGTGGCGAAACGAATCAATGTTCCCCGCACGTCAATCACCGACAAAGCGGCAAGGGATCTCATTACCTACCACTCTGGAAGTACAACAGAGCAAAATAAACATTAGTGGGATAACATTGTGGTCACCGAGCGATTGTCGATAACCCAGGCATTAGACGGCGACTGATAATTTGAATGTT